GCACAAATAAGATTTTATTGGAAAAAAATGGAGGTGCAACTATAAGGAGGAAGGAATAGATGTGGCGGTGAACGAGAAGAATGAGTTAACTTTAACCCATATTGTCGTTGTGTGGGGAGTTTGTATTGATTACCGGAGACTCTACACTGCAACCAAGAAGGACCATTTCCCATAAATTTCATTGAGTAGATGCATGAGAGGTTAGCAAGCCATGACTACTAATGTTTCTTTGATGATCATTTCGAATATAATCAGATAGTCGTGACACTAAATGATCAAGAGAATATAAAATTATCTTTCCCCTATGAGATAATTTGTTATAGAAAGACGTTGTTAGGGTTATGTAATGCCCCTGAGAAATTTCAAAGGTGTATGAAGTCCACATTCATTTATGGACATATTTTTTGTTTTTGGTAGTTGCTTGATTAATTTATCTCTTATATTAGAAAATGTGTCAAAAATATTGTTTGATTCTAAATTAGAAAAAAGTGTCATTTCTTTGTGAGATAGAAGTCATACGATCTCCTATAAGGGGATCAAAGTTTACCAAGAAAAAGTAGAAGTGATTGAAAATCTTCTCCCTTCCATCAATGAGAAAGAGATTAAAAACACTCAAGGGCATGTGGGGTTTTATAGGATGTTTATAACCTTTTTTTTTCAAAAATTGAAAAATCTCTTACTAATTTACTTATGTAAGATACATCCTTCAAATTCAGTGAGGAATGTAGGGGGGACTTTTAATATTTTGAAACAAAAGTTAATTTATGCTTTAAAAGATATGCATAATTCAGTGAGGAATGCAAGGCATTAAAATCATCATCTTTATGCTTTAAAAGATATGCATGTGTGAACCACGAGAAATCATCAATAAAAGTTATGAAACACCGATTTCCCCCACTGGTTAGAATGCCATTAAATTCACACAAATCATAGTGCACAAGATCAAGCAAATTTAATTTTCTTCAACAATTTTGAAAGTTTTCTGATTATTTTTTATTTGACACATGTTTCACATTTTTTGAAATCATGAATATTGCACAAGATCAAGCTTAATTTAATTAGTTATTCATAATACTAATTATATGTGCTAATCTAAAATGCCATAAATAAATATTGATCTGACCTGATCAGGAGGGGATCACGGGCTGGCCACACACTGTTGGGCTGCTACCTGTTCACCGGTGATGAGGAGGAGAAAGGGGGGTGTACCTGCAAGACACTCCGATGCCAAAGTAAGAAATTGGGCAGAGTGAGAGCAAAGTACAGAAAGGGGCAAGATATGAATTACCTGAACCTCTTGAGGAAGAGGGTATTTATAGAGAGACTCCAGCGCTGGGCCAACGGTCACTTGTGTTGGGCTGGATGGCCAGGCCCAACCCAGGTGACTGCTAGGGCTTACGTGGCATAGTGAAGACCAGGACATGGTCTTCGCCCTAGTCCAACTGTCACGTGGTCTCCGGAAAGTGGGTTTGACCTGCTCTTTCGGAGGTGGGCAGTTGGGGATGACGTGTCCCCGCGGAAGGGAGCACGTGGAGAACGTGCACCGGGCACGTTGTTCTCCCCGCGGAGGGGAGCTCGGGAGGTACCCCGGAGCGCGTTGTTCTCCTCGCGGAGGGGAGGAACCAAGGCCGTGCTCTGGTGCGTCGGGGTAGGTTCTGTTTGGCTGGTAAGAGGGGACGACGAGATGCTGTTGGATGCGCTGCTTGTGTCCGGCAGCATGCTCTGCTCGTCTTGCGGGACGCACGTGCCCGACGTGCCTGATTCGTCTGTTGGGTTGTACGTGGTATTGGGCCTGCCGAGGTCGGGCCCATACCGGAACAAATATATTCAAGCATATAAGCAGAATTATAAATTTCATAAATAATATTATCGATAGTACAAAGTTTAATCATTGCCTCGGCGGGATATCCTTTTCCAACAAATACACCATTACGGGTCAATATTAGTTTGCTCGATTCATATACATACTTAATACCAGGTTTTCCTAACAAGTCCCCACTAACAAGGTTCCTATTCATGTCGGGGACATGAAGTACATTGACAAGAGTGCCTTTCTTTCCGAAAGTAAAATTTAGTTCGACGGATCTTGTTCCAACAACTCTAGATCGTACTTCATTTCCCATCTACACTTTTTGTCCATCATTTACTTCAGAGTATGTTTTAAATGTGTTTTTGTCATGAAAACATGCACGATAACACATGTATCACACCACCATTTTTGCACTTTACCTTTGATTGCCATAATCTCGCTCACCGTAGCAATTATGTCGTCATTTGCATGAACAACATTAACTTAATTTTTGGACTTGTTATGCCTGCAATCTCAATCAACGTGGTATGGTTTAACGCACACATATCAACTGCCTTTTGGTCCGCTTGAGTTTTTAAACTTGTTATGTTCGTTCTTAGGGCCAAGATGGTTCTTCATGCCATCATGTTTCCTCTTTCCTTTTGCAATTACAACATTGGTTTTAGAGTATCCAGTGGATTATGACTTTTCTCTATCCTTTGTCTCCTCCTCGATTCAAATGTGTTTCTGAAGTTTCTCCAACGAGAAATCCTCAGAACCATGCAACAATTTCTTCCCGTATCCTTTCCACGAGGGTGTCAATTTTGCAATGATTGTACCAACTTGGAAATCTTATGGAATGTCTATTTTTACAACTTTTTTTATTCACGAGAACTTGTAACTCATGTACTTGTGTAAGAATAGGTTTGAAATCTGACATTTTAAAATCAAAATATTTATATATTAATAACTTTTTTGCACCTTCCTCTTCAACCTTGAATTTGAATTCAAGTGCTTTCCAAATCTCTGTTGCAGATTGTGTATCAATGTATAGATCATAGAGGTGATCGTAATGTGTTCAAAATATGTCCACGGCATATTAATTCATCTTCCTTTCGCTTCTTTCATTCTTTCTTGACTTCATTAGTGCCATCTTCTATTAGTTATAGAATTGGTGTCAAATCAGGATTTAAAACATATTGAATCTTCAAGGCAATTAATAGAGATGTTATCTTGTCCTGCCAAAGGGTGAAGTTTGTTCCATCTAAACGATCCAACTTGACAATGTGACTTTGATGCTTGAAACTAAAGCGTCGGTGGCCATGATTTGAGACACTATAAGATTGTTAGATAAAGCTTCTAAGTTTAATAGATCCAGCCAAGAATTGTGTACGAAACAATTTCTTGATAGTGTTTCAAAAACTCTTGAATATCTTAGAGTTTCTATGCAGGAACATCCAAGATAATTAAGCTTATACTCGGGTTTGAACAAGACGAATGAAAAGTCGAATGTAGGAAAGAGAATTTGGAATTTTCTGAAGAGGATGTGAATTTTGTGATGTGATTTCTTAATTCAGAATGACTTATTTATAGGTCATGTGTGTGTTGTTTCACAAGGTTGCGACCCTTGATGTAACAACATCTTTTACCAATAGTTGTGTTGTTTCGCATATATATCAACATTTTCCAATAGTTACAATTTTCCATTCAGCAACACTTCACGAAGTGTTGCATATTTTCGAATTCAAAAATCCAATTCAAGCAACGACCAAAAAAGAGCAACGACTGTTTACCATATGCTGGTCGAAGGTCGGCCGCTGGAGCTCCACCGATGCCGTGAGTAGCCCGATTGCTCCGATGCATCGTGCCTAAATGCCTACAAGCCGTCATTAGCGCCTCTACTACACCCATGTCCTCAGACCCGGACCTGACGACATCAGCGAATGAATGTATGGAGGAGACAAATGACATAATGTTTGAGAACACCACACTTGTCTATGTGACACTTTATTCTCTTTCGTCCTTTTGTAGTTAATGTCCATAACTATTTATAAAGGCTTTTAAAGTAAGCGAAACTTTATTTGTGATACTATTTTTCAAACATTTATTTGCATTTATTCAGTTCCACTTTTCTTGTAATTTTAAAACATAATCATGCACACTCATTGTTCATATATTACAACAAATATATATATATATATATATATATATATATATATATATATATATATATATATATATATATATATATATATATATATATTAAAAAAATAAGTTTTAGAAAGTTTTTAAATTTAGAAATTCAAAAAAGAAGTTTTAGGAAATTTTTAAATTTAGAAATCCAATTAAATTTATTTGCTTGGATTTCTCAAATCCAACTCTATTTAATATTTCTAAATAATCCAGTAGTATTTTAGAGTAACTTATTTAAAAAAAGAAAAACCAAAACCTATAGAGTATTTAAGCTTTTAGTAAATGAATGAGATGATAATAATGGATAGTATTAGTTAATTCCTCCATGATACTTATCTTTGTTCTCTTTCCTATGTTAGCGCATTACAAGGAAGTAATCTTCAAATATTTATACACCTAACCCCGTTTCCTCCGCCCTCAACGTAATCAATAAAATAAACTATAATTGTATAATTCATTTATTTCATTTTATAAACTTCTGGTTTTCGCTTTCGCATAGAAACTTTTTGTTTTTTTCTTGGGTTTTTCTTTTGTACTCTCTTTCATAGAACAAGGGAGAAAGAAAAAGAAGAAGAAGGTGTGTGTGAGAACAAGGAGGACCCCACACACACCTTGTATTGTTTCTTTTCTTCTCTTTCAAATTTCCTCCTAAATCAATAATTAATTCATTAATTAATCAATCTAATTTATTTACTACTTTTCTTCAAATTGAATTTGACTTTATAATCGCGTGCACTTCTACTTTTCCCTCTTTTTCTGCAATTGTCAATGATCTACGAGTCGTTGCGTTCTTACTCGTTTTGAATCATTCTTCAATTCATTCTCTCGCTGCTTCAACAGGTTTGTTACTTCATAATTCAAGCTTAATTTCTAGATAAAACCTGCAAAACCCTCTTTTCGTGATGATGAAATTGGATTTTTTTTTTACTGTGTTGTTGATGTTGAATTTGCAGGAAGGAACTGTTATTGAATATATATAGTTTGGTTTTTCTTCTATGAACGTATAGATATTTGATTTATGGGTTGGCTTAGTAGAATTTTTAAAGGCTCTGAACATAGGGTTTCGGAAGGGCATTACTATAAAGATGATTCTGGTTATTACTTGCCATCAACTTCAGGGGTAATGAATGGTTAATTCATTTTTTAATGCTTTGGATTTTAGAAAATGTTGTGTCTTATGTTTTGATAGGGGTTTGAATGTAGGATGTTTGTACTGAGAATGAGAATGAAGATATAGATCGTGCTATTGCGTTGTCGCTTGCAGAAGAAAATCACAAAGTGAAAAATGTAAATGGTGAGTGAGATTAGATACATGCAGTTTGACATTTTATACAGTTAATATGATGGTTTTGATTTGATATATGTCCTAATTTCCTTCTTTACTGATTGCTACTGTCTTTGGAATAATTATAACTTGGAATTGATTCAATATAAACCCTTGAATTAATACCTTTTTTGTTATTTTTTACTATGGGAATTGTGATATATTGCTGATTTCTGCTTATATTACTGGCAGTCTTGTCTATATCATCTATGTCTTAAGATGAAAAATAGTGCTGTTCTGTATTTATGAATATTTTTGTTTATCTTGTTATAGACCACAAGTCACAATTAGAAGAAGATGAACAACTTGCCAGAGCAATAGAAGAAAGCCTAAATTTGGAGTCACCTCCCAAACATGGAAATGATAACAATACGTATCAACCAATTCAATATTTCCCGATGGGGTACAGGTATGGGTTAGATGATAACAATGTACATTTCGATTCTCACTCATTTGTGCTGGTCATGTTGTCCTACTTAGAGTGTAACTTTTTCTTTTAAAAATGGCTAGAATTTAGTCTACATGGTTCTTCATCCTTTTTATTCTCTTCAAATACCTTGTACTACCAAACATTAGCTGAATGAATACTGCTGCAACAAAACTAATTTATGGCTGTTAAAATATATGTAGCCTCTTGATTCAAATAATCGGAAAAGGCGTGGTTGTTATTATTGTTCTAGTAGACTCTTGATCATTATATGATGAATTTATGAACAAATAACCACGTGGTCCTATGAATTAAGTTCCACATCCAAAGAAGGGATAATTTTTATATCATGTACATCATGTTCAATGCTCATAAACAAAGGGATCTTCTCAGTATTTTTCTAATTGTTTTCAATTGATGAAGAAATTACTCTTTTCTTTCAGTTTGTTATTACATTAGAATATCAGCAATATATGTAATGCAGACACAATTGTAGATATCTAATTCAATTGTTTACATAATAGGATATGTGCTGGCTGCAATACTGAGATTGGTTATGGGCGATATCTAAATTGCATGGGTGCATTCTGGCATCCTGAGTGCTTCCGCTGCCGTGCTTGCAACCTACCAATCTCTGATTATGAGGTGCAGGAAGTCACATTGCTCATTTTAATGCTTTCATTTTCATAATGAGTGTTTATTCTGTACTTAGGGTTTTATTGGTTTTAAATGTGCATATCTTTGCTTTTGTAGTTTTCCACGTCTGGAAATTACCCTTACCATAAAGCATGCTATAAGGAAAGCTACCATCCAAAGTGTGATGTCTGCAAGCACTTCGTAAGTATTTCACATTAAACAACTTTTACATTCTTGCTTATGCAGTGTCTTTGTGAGTAATGGCCGCGTTTAAACACGTCAAATGGTATCTATATTGTAGTAGTGCTTGGTTGTTGAATACTTGGTCATAGTATTTATCATAAAATGATAAGCGAGTGTCACATTATGTGTTAGTTTGTCTAATCACTAATTAGGGTATGGAAGTTGTATCATCAAAGTTTGTGGTTCATATTCTTGGTGATGTCTTCTCTCTCAATTCTTTCTTGGTGTTGTTAACTAGCGGCTGTAGCAGTGCTATAGTGCTATACTGTAGCAGAATTTGAACAAATCGCCATTGTTCTGCGATACGTTATTTAGTATAAAATGAACATTGTCAATAGCGGTACTATTGCAATGTTGTGCAGTGGAATTTAATTAAACCGCTTTGACACCGCAAATGATCACAACTTTAGTAGAAGGTGCTATTGGCATCACCCTGATTCTTCGAACTTGTGGATATTGTCTGAATCGTTCATGATGTTTATAACTTTTCATATGTTACAACTTACGATTAAATAAAGGCGTGCTCATTAGTTTTCACTTTGACTTCAGCTTCATATCTCATGGCCTGTTGCTGTTAATTTTTGGTAATATATATCTTTTTGACAGATTCCAACAAACCCTGCTGGTCTTATTGAATATAGGGCACACCCATTCTGGAACCAGCATTATTGCCCTTCACATGAACATGATAATACTCCTCGCTGTTGTAGCTGCGAGCGAATGGAGGTCAGTCCAATTTAGTATTTTTATATGATCAAATATTAATCACAGGCTTGCGTAGGGAAAGGTGGAGGAAATTGTATGGAGCAAAGTAAAAAGAATGTAACGATACAATTGTATTTACATGCAGCCACAAGGGACAGGATATATTGCCCTTAAGGATGGAAGGAAACTCTGCTTAGAGTGTCTTGATTCTGCTATCATGGATACTAACGAATGCCAGCCCCTTCATGCTGATATATTAAGGTTCTATGAAAGCATAAATATGAAACTGGATCAGCAAGTTCCTCTACTGTTAGTTGAAAGACAAGCACTGAACGAAGCAAGGGAGGGAGAGAAGAATGTGAGTGAAACTGCATTTAACTTGTTTACAATAATATAATTGATAATTTGATTATGGCCAGTTTTTAAGAGGAACTATTTTTGTGAGTTTCATTTTTGTTATTGATAACTTTTGATATGTTAATTACATAATCTATCTACTCAATGATTCAATTTGACATGCACACGTGATATTAGAAATTTAAGACAAAATGGATACACAAACAAATACATTCAGAATTAAAGGCCTAACCTCTGTAATAAGTCAAAATGCTTTAAAATACGAAGATTCTATTTTAACTTATTCACAATTAAACAAATTGCTTTTCCTTAATCTTATCTTACTCTTTATCTTCGCAGGGCCACTATCACATGCCTGAAACCAGAGGACTCTGCCTCTCTGAGGAACTCAGCACTGTAAGATTTCCTGTAATGTTCTGCTAACATATTTAGAGTGTGATGACTATTTTTATACAAGAGTAAGACTAGTAAATCTTGATCACATTACCATAAATGCATGACCAAAATTTAAAATTACTTAATGGACATGGGGTTTTATGTCACATATAAGTACCGCTCAAGCTGAAGGGGAAATTTTATCGGACAACGGTAAGACCTACGATCTTGTACGAGAGAGAGTGTTGGGCGGTTTAGATTCAACACGAGAATAAAGTAAGTGTATCAGAGATAAGGATGTTGCATTGGATGTGTGGTAAGACTAGATGGGATAAGATTAACAAAAATCTTGAAATTAACGAGTTGGATAGAAACACGGTATTAAATAGAACATCATGGCAAAATTTGAGCCATGTAACGACCCCACTTAGTGGGATAAAGTTTGGTTGTTGTTGTAATCTTAATAATTTATAATAAGACATAATTTTCAAGATTAATTCTTCTCACTTTCTTTCTTATATATCTCACTTGATATGATGTTATTATATATCTCACTAGACGGGATAAGATTAACAAAAATCTTGAAATTAACGAGTTGGATAGAAACACGGTATTAAATAGAACATCATGGCAAAATTTGAGCCATGTAACGACCCCACTTAGTGGGATAAAGTTTGGTTGTTGTTGTAATCTTAATAATTTATAATAATATATTATTTTCAAGATTAATTCTTCTCACTTTCTTTCTTATATATCTCACTTGATATAACTCTTATGTACACATACTCATACTACATACTCATATAAATACCAATAGTTAGCTATATATTTATGCTACGTTGCTTTTAAACTTGATCAGATTTCTAGACGACCTAGACTTGGGACAGGAAATAAAGCTATGGACATGAGAGCACAGCCATACAAACTGAGTTCACGCTGTGATGTAACAGCAATTCTCATCCTATATGGTCTTCCAAGGTAATAATTAATGTTTTTGTTGGTTTTACAACTTGTATAATAAGCATAGACAATTCCCAAAAGACATGGAAAAAAATTCCTACAGGATGAAAATAGCTGCTAGCAACAGCACACAGAATCATAAAGTTTAGCTTATATGTAGTTGTAATACAAGTATATCATTTGCCTGTATTTTCAAAAATTTCTTGTAGGATGATAAAATACTGGCAAATCATAAACTTACCCAGATAATGGGTGATAAAATTTACCCAGATAATATTTTACGCTGGGGAGGCAGTTTTTTACTTGGTAAACAATTATATTGCTTACTTAATATGAAAATTACATGGCTGAATAAACACAAAGGTGCTAAAAGCTGCACAACTTAACTTGCATTTGCTTCCCCCTCACAAAAGGAGTTCATGAAAGAACCTATGTTCTTTTGAAGTAGATTATATAACAACTCTTCCTTATTAAGATTCTCTTGGGTATATTTGCATGTTTTTTAAAAGTTTGACTTTCGCAGATCTTTTGCAAGAAGTTTTTTTTCCCTCTTGTCTAATCACATCAGCATCTTTGTTTCCGTGTTTCCCTCGGGTGAATCATTTTATGCATGTATGCAATTCTGCTTTTTTTCACAGGTTACTTACTGGATCAATTCTTGCACACGAGATGATGCATGCATGGCTGCGGCTGACAGGTACAATTTGTTTGTCAGTTTCATTTTATTGTTATTCATCTACAACGCCGATGCAGTTTTTAGGTGTACATTTTCTTGGTTACAACATGTGAACGATCTATTCATTTTAATAGTTGAGATTTGTCATGTAACATCAAACCCATTTTATTTCGTTGGGCTTGTCTCAATTTTATGCCAACTGCTGTATATATGAAGGTTTTCGGACTCTTAGTCAAGATGTTGAAGAAGGTATCTGTCAGGTTTTGGCTCACATGTGGTTGGAGTCTGAGCTTTCTTCTGCATCAGGAAGCAATGTTGTCTCATCATCATCATCATCTGCATCATATACATCTAAGAAAGGTAAAAGACCTCCTTTTGAGAGGAAGCTTGGGGAGTTCTTCAAGCACCAGATTGAATCCGACATTTCCCCAGTTTATGGAGATGGATTTAGGGCAGGTCAAAAAGCCGTTCGCAAGTATGGCCTACAGAGGACCCTTCACCATATCAAGATGGCGGGGAGCTTCCCATTTTGAGTATAGATATCTTCCATTTAACCGATTGTTTCTCATTCTTTTTATAGATAAAGCCTGGCCTGTTATTGAAAACGGCAGCTAAGGTACTTTGGCATTAGCATTGAGGCAGTGCTGATTTTTTTTTGAACTTGTAATTAATTGATACCTCTCCTCATGTATTGATTACATTCATATGATTTTTTAAATATATTTTAGTCACACGGATAGTTATTTGTATAATAACTGTTAAGATACTTTATAATATTCTAAATATTCTAATATAAACAAATGCAGAGTAAGAAAACTTCTGTATTAAAAAACATTGCTACGCTGTCAACCTCAAATAGGGTAGTCTCTCATATTTATAATATATACAAAACAACTGCAAAAGCAACACTTTGGAGTGTATCCAAAACAAAGAACCAATGTCATTGGTGTATAAAATATGTATAATATATACGAAATAACTGCAAAAGCAACACTTTGTCAACAACAGAAAAACTTCAAAAGCAACATATCAGTTAGCCGAAACTCTATCATTTCACCTCTCTAGGCTTAGGCTGTTATTGACAATGGGTGATATACTTTGTTGCATATCATTTGCCTGTATTTTCAATAAGCTGGATACTACCTCTTCAATGTTTGGTCTGCTTTCTGGTTCTTGGATCAAACAGGTTAGACCCAGTTTAACTAGCTGCAGTGCACTTGATTTCCTACAGCATTCAATGAGGCAAGGATCAATGAACAAACTCACTTTCTCTTCTTCATTCTCTTTTCCAATTATACTTTCTATGATTTCATAAAGCATTACTTCTCTTCCATCTTGTAGGGTAATAGAATCTTTGCCAGTGATCAATTCCAGCAGCACCACTCCAAAGGCAAACACGTCCATTTTGGTACTTACTACCCTTGCTTCCAGATACTCAGGAGCTAAATAACCGGCCGATCCTACAACATGTGATGTGGGACAATCAGAAGTAACCATCCTCCCCGATTCTTCAACAAGAGCAAATTTTGCTATCTTGGCCCTTAAATCTTTGTTTAGTAGAATGTTTCCACTGTTTATGTCCTTGTGTACATAGCAAGGTTCTGTGAAGTTGTGAAGATATTGAAGTCCATTGGCAATATCCACAGCAATCTGTATCCTCCTTCCCCAACTTCGGTGCTCAATGGAACTATTCTTGCTAAGCCATTCCCTTAAAGATCCATTTTCCATGTATTCATAAACAAGATAGATGCAATCTTTGTTTTCACAGTAGCCCTGCAGCTTTATCAGGTTGAAATGATTGATCCTTTTCAGCAAATTTACCTCTTTAGAAACATCTCCTCTCATTCTTTTAACAGCCAACACTTCCTTGCCATTGTTGAACACACCGCGAAATAAAGAACCTTCGATTCTATTCTTTGAACTAAAATTCTCAGTTGCCTCTTTTATTTCCTCAAACCTATACATTTTGGAGAGATGTTCAATGATCGCTATTTCCTCACGGATCTCTTCTGAAAACACCACCGTTTTTTTCTTACCTTGCGCAGGTCGCTTAAACAACCTTACTGATCTCTTTCTTAGCAAAAACAGAACCAGCACAAACAAGAAGGCACACAGAACCAGCACTGAGGTGGTTAAAGCAATGGGGAGCGTTTTTTTCTTTGACCTGCACTTTTTGAAGCTGCAACCACCAGGAGTTGGTGGATCATTAGCAACTATGGCTGTTGGACTCCTCGGTTCACTTGGAAAAGGAATCAGAACAGTTGTGAATGGATAAAGTACTTGAGTTTGTGTTGAAAAACCATTAGCATCAACTAGATTACCTTCTGTTACATTGAACCTTGTAGCAATATTTGAAATGTTATCCCCCCAGGTTACTGAGTATGTGAGTAAATACTTGGTGCCATTTGTTTTCTGATGATACGTTGGACAAGCGCATCGAAGTGGCACCTGTAACTCCATTCTCGGATACAAATCAAGTTCCCCGTATGGATTTGCACGCATAAGAGAATCACACGTCGTCAAACCCTGGAACGTGTCATTTGCTACTATGAAATATGTCGGGTTTTGACCCAATATATATTTGGTTTCAGCTTGATAATAATCGTTAGTTAAACAAGAACAGTTCACAGGAACAATAACCTCTTTGCCAGGTGGGAAAACTGTGAGCAAAGTGGCGCCATTGATTCGGGCAAGCTCTTTCGGGTTTGATGATGTGAGGTTGGAAATCGCGTTGACGGAGTTATAAGGAGGTTTGGATCTGAAGCTCAGAAAAGCCATGCATGATTTGTTGAAGCCATTGCAGGTGTAAAGAAATGCTGAAGAAGGTCCCGTAGCATCGCTGTTCTTGCAGGTGAATATCAAATTTCCTGAGTAATTCTGCTGTGCCTTGGTTTTCGATGAAAGAAAAACACTTAGTATGAAGAAAATGAAGTTAAACACAACATAATTCATGGTGAAGTTATTTTTCTTCATGAAAATGAAAATTAAGTAGTGACTATATCAGAATAATGCATCAAAACATTAGACTAAGCATTAATATATCAGAATAACGTGTGAGAAGTTAAAAAGACATAGTCTAAATCATTATATTATATTATGCTGTTCATTGTATAGGCCCACAGATTCTAGTATCTTGGTCTGTTACTTGTGTTATGTAGATGGATTACATAATTGGATTTTTTATATATTTAAATTTAATTGACCAAGTTTTGGGTTTACGTCATAGATGAAGAATATTCGGGAAATTCTTTTCATATAGAAAATATGTGTATTAAAATATGCAGCCACTTGAATCTGGTTATGAAGGAAATTAGTGTTATCATATTTTTGTTTCCATTAGGTCTTATCTTACTGATTGGATCATGTTGTATTTTATTCAAGACCTGATGATTAATCGATTATTATATCATATAGTATGATTAAGCTGCTGCTTTCTACTGCCTGCTTCTACCATGATATAATCCGGCTTTTCTTTGCTTTTTTAGTTGTTGAAAAAAGATCGCATATATAGTATATAAATGTGAATTATGAAGCTTGATATAATTGATTAAGTTTGAAGTTTAAATGATAAAAATATGAAACCAAATAAGTCAATAGGATTGAAGTATACGTTATTACACAAAATATCAAAATTATAACTGAAAGTTTGTTAGGTTGTTATTGTTAGTTTGAGTTATTAGTAGCTATTTCCTTTGCTAATGTTTGTGTGTATGCCGTCTAGAATGGACTTGAAGGCGATGTCCGGAATTGCTCGAAATTTATCACGATTTAATCTTGATAAATTTTGAACAAAATGCTTATACTCTCTTTAAAATCTATTCTGATTCAAAAGTAAACATTTACATTATCCAGTCATTATTATTAAAAAAAAAAGTTTTAATTTTTAAGTTTATTAAATAATTGATCTATTTAATTTAATGTATATATAAATTGTTCCGGTATGGGCCTCACCTCGGCAGGCCCAATACCAAATGCGGCCCAACAAGCGAACTGAGCACGCCTGGCACGCGCCCCTTCGAACGAGCAGGACTGGCCGCCGGGCACAAGCTACCGCTCCACGTCCCTTTTGTCGTCCGTCACGCCGGACGAGCAAGACCACCCGAGCTCCCTCCGCGGGAGAATAACGTGCTCGGCGCACGTTCTCCATGTGCTCCCCTCCGCGGGGACACGTCATCGGCCAACCGCCCACCTCCGAAAGAGCAGGTCAAACCCACTTTCCGGAGACCTAGGAGCGGTTGAACTAGGGCGAAGACCACGTCCTGGTCTTCACTACGCCACGTAAGCCCTAGCAGTCATTAGGGTTGGGCCTGGTCGTCTGGCCCACCTCGAATGACCGTTGGCCCAGCGCTGGGGTCTCTCTATAAATACCCTCTTCTTCAAGAGGGTCAGGTAACTCTTCTTGCCCCTTTTTCTGTACTATTGCTTCCTCTCTGTCCAACTTCTTACTTGGGCGTCGGAGTGCTTTGCAGGTACACCCCCTCCTCTTTCTTACCCGGCGAACAGATAACCGTCCAGCGGAGTGTGGCCAGTCCGTGATCCCTCCTGATCAGGTCAGATCAGTGGCGCCGTCTGTGGGAAACTGAAACTTCCCCGTTACTCCGAGCAGAAAAACCAAAAGTTTCACCAAACCTCCACGGTCATGGCCAACCCACGCCGCGATGACACTCCGCACGATCTTGCGCTCAACACCGCCACCAACGGGAAGCAGATAGGAACGGCACGCCTGACGGAAGTCGACGAAAGGGACGGGCGAACTGCTTCACCATCATCCGAGGAACGGCCCCTACAGGCCGACCATCGCCCCCCGAGCCCGCCAGCATTCCACCCCGTTCCCATCCCGGCGGGAGCAGACCCAACGGTAGCCGCTCTCTTTGCAGCCATCAACCAGACGAACCAGCTGCTGTTCCAACAGAACGCTAGAATTGGAGCATTGGAACGCGTCGGCTCCCCGAGGTACCCCCAGCGGGAAGACCAGAACGGAGGTTCGAGGAGCCCCTCACCTCGACCCAGGAACCGCCGGCCACGGATGGAGAAACACCGCCCGCAAGCGACACGGGAGCGCACCAGATCCCCGGCGAGGCACGGTCGCGGGAGGAACCAGAACGCCGCGGCGATCCCAACCGAGGAACCCCAAGGCGGGAACTCAGGCCGAAGATCAAGGACCCGAAACCCGGGACACACCGCGAACGGCTCATCTCCCCTGAGATCCCCGGCGCACAGCGACGAGGATGACTACCGCACCCCACTATCCCGGGAGATCATGGCAGCCCCCATACCCCAGGGAATGGAGAAACCACCGACGCTGTCAACGTACGACGGCACCTCCGACCCGGACGATCATCTGGAAGATATCGAGGCTATGCTCGACTACCGAAATGTCCGGGGAGCTATTAAATGCAGACTCTTCCCGACGACTCTGAGGAAAGGCGCTATGACCTGGTACAAAAGTCTGGAGCCCGAATCAGTTACGTCGTGGAGGGTCTTGAAGGACCTATTCTCCAAACACTTCACGGCGTCCCGGCGTCACCCGAAGACGGAAGCAGTCCTCGGGGCAATCATCCAAGGCCCCGACGAACCTCTCCGGAAATACATCGAAAGGTTTACTCGGGAAGCCGTACAGGTGACGACTTCCGACGAAATGAAACGCTACTTAATGGAACAAGGCCTGCGCCATGACTCCAAATTCTACGAGGCCGTAGGCATACACCGGCCCACGTCCCTCCAAGACTTCCTCGACAGGGCCGCACATTACATCCGGTTCGAGGAAACACAACCCGGCCAGTTCCCTACACTACCGGTAACAAATTGTCGAGCTAAACACACCGAACGCACACTTAGAAAATCTACAAGAAATGTCATACACATCAGAGGCATTCGAACAAATACGAAAAACGAGCATAAAACAACATGCAAATAACGAGCGCACACTTAGAAAATCCATGATAAATATATTTAACAAAAGCGGGCACCAGCCCAGTAGTCAATAGTACAAAAACGAGCACGCAGGCCCAAAGCAAAAGATAAACACCGGCACGCAGGCCACAAAAACAACGAGCACGCAGGCCCGGCAACCTAGGCTTCCTCGTCCGCTCGGTCAGCAGCCACGGTTTCCTCCTCGGGGATAACAAGATAAGGATCGATCACCCTCCCATCAACAATCTCGTGGTACGGCCCTATCCCGTCCACGACCAGCTCGACACCAGGGTTGGCGACCTGAATCTGCTCGACCGCATTCTTGAACCCGACCTCAACGGCCTCCAGACAATCGCTCTCCAACACCCGGATACGGGCGATCAAGTCAGCACGGGTGATTAGCCGCCGATCCCCATCAGTCTCGTCCTCGGCCGGACGAACAACGCTGTCCAAAACCTCCGTACGAACCTTCAGCGCCTGCACCTCGGCCGTCGCTGTCCCCAGCTTCTCCTCCAGCGAAGTCACCTTCCCCTCAGCACCCTCTGCCCGTTTCCGCTGCTCGGCAGCATCCTTCTGGCTCTTCTCCAACTCCTCAGTGAGCTTGGCCAACCGCGACTGCGTGAAAGTGAGATCCCCTTGCAGTTTGGACAGCTCAGCAGCGGAGCAGCCCTCCTCGTTCAGCACGAGAGCCGTCGTAAACGTCCGCATCATCGCGGCCAAGTCCTCAGCCAGGACACGTCGACGGGTCTCCCGATCAGCCTGGCGAACAGCCTTCACCTCCCCGGCGGAAACAGTGGGGGAACGGGCACCATGAAAATATCCCGGGTGCTGATGGCAGGGAGGGACGACATAACCTTCCTCGACGGCGCCGACCGTCAGATCCACCACCCGAGGCTCCTCGGACCTTTGCCTCTTCGACACTCCTTGAGACACAGGGGATTGGCTCTCTTGAGGCGACGAGGACGAAGTTTGCCCCCCGTGCGTCGCGACCTCCTGACCGACCAGCTGACTCACCCTCGTCCTCGGGGCCACGACATTCCTGGCAGCGCGCAACTGCTTCACCCGCTCGTCGACAGTAGACATGTTCGCTGCAAAAACAAAGAAATAGGTTAGTGACGATCAAAAACCCCGACCACGAGGGAAAACGAACATCCCTACCTAGATAATCCAGAGCGGCCGCCCCGGTCGTGCAGCCGAGCAAAGTCTTGGTATTTATCAAACGCTTCTTGGTGCGTATGTTCCCCTGGGCGTCGAGGATGTACCGACCGTCGGGCGTCACCAGCTTCGACGGGGGGAGTGACCGCACAAAAGCAATTATTTTCAAATAAGCGGCCATGTCCTTCTCCTCGAGGGTCCCCGCCCGGACGATATACCTATCCGTCCCTCGACTGAAATGCTCCGAGGTCCACAGTAGATGTATCTTAGGAAGCCACGCGCGGAACCGCTGGCCATCTACCGTGCGCTCGCCCTCATCAAAGAGAGTGTCTGAGCCGTGCTGCGTGATCGGTTTGACGAGGTAGAACCGACCTTTGAAGTCTTTGACAGAATCGCTATACGCTTTGAAAATTTTGGTCGATTGTTTGAAAGAGACCCATCCGTGACGACCTCGCACCGTCTGCCGCTGCAAATGAAAGATGCGGAAGAATAACGGCACCGTCGGCTCCACCGAGAGGTAGAAACACACCACCTCGAAAGCCCGGATGAAAGCCAAAGCGTTTGGGTGCAGCTGAGACGGGGCAAGACGCAGCCAGTCAAAAAGCCCCAGATGGAAGGCGGAAAACGGTAACCGGAGCCGAGCTTCTTTAAAATAAAATTCATACATCGGGAACATCTTCCGCCCATATCGCGAACAGATCCGGTGGTGCTCTTTCGGGCAGTACACCTGCCAGTGTTGCGTTTCTCCTATCGGCGTGTCCTCGACCGTGGCATACACGTCGGACGAGTCGACCACAAAGCAAGAGGGGATGGAAAGTGGCTCCTCGGCCGCCCACTCCTCGGACGGGGCGATACGCTCGTCGTCATACTCCGGGACCTCGGGT